ACACACACACACACACACACACACACACACACACACACACACACACACACACACACACACACTTATCGTAACCACGGCTCTCCATTTCTGGCTTTCAATCTTTTTTCCAAATGACCAGACACTCGCTTCCTTGACTTTGTCTCGCTCTTGTGTGTGTGTGTGTGTGTGTGTGTGTGTGTCTGTGTTTGTAATTTTCCATACTGCCACCATTCCATGTAACTTGACAAATGCGGTACATTTGTTCTGTCATACATGTCAGTCGAGGAAAGCGCCTATAATGGACCACACAGGTGCTAAAAGCATAACAGTGGAACAGATAGTTATCTTAAGGGGCTTAAACAACTCTCTAGTTCATTGGTGGACAGGCAGAAAACATTAAATACTGCAACAACTGTGGCTCAGTGGCAGGGGGTCAAATCATAAAGACTTGTCTAATACTTCCACATTTGACCCATATTCCCCAAGGCTCCAGGCTTACCCACAAAATCCATTTAACTGTATTTAAGTTGGACTGTGCGCACATTCGCCAATTAAACACACTTGGTAGTTGTACAGGAGCCTAGAGTAAATACGAACAATATGGTAGACGGACTCACTGCCAACATAGATGCAGGAGCCGGCCAGCACATGACCCCCGCTGTTATGGCACACGAGGTTGTCTCCGGAGCGCTGGCGGGACCCGGAGAGACGTGGGAGGGTGACACTGAGCACGGTGGGGCTCAGAATGCTGTAGGCGCTGCTGGGAAGACGCTTTCCGTTCAGCGTCCAGTAGAGTGAGCCTGCGTGAATGCCGTGGTCTGGATTCACTGAGCATGTGGCTGTCAGGCTGGAGCCGATGGGAAGGGCCGGGTCTTGAGGGTAGATTGTAGCCACCTCTGAGGGAGGGCGAGATATAGCAGGTTAGAGCTGGAAAGAGGCAGCATGGTTATTACGGGCTGTCTGGTTATGGGTGAGCTCACATGATATGACGTTAAAGGAGGAGACAGACCGACCTCATGACTAACACATCAAAAAAGTTGATAGTGACAGCCTAAATGTGGGATACGCAAGATGATCACAAAAAGGAGATAATATCCATTTACTATGAAAGGGAACACATACAGTCAGATGGTCCGTCTTCATCTGACTGTACATTATCCCCCTTATTAGATGCTGTTTACTAAATAAATGAATAATGTATATTAAATAAATTAATTAATGAATATTAAATAAATATATGCACAAGAAACATTGGCTTGAGGTTATTTTGTGAGAAAAAGTGGTCAGCGTTTAAATACACCTATGGTTTAGTGTTCATTAAAAAATCATTTTACCATTAAATGCACAGAAAATAATAATAAATGAACATTAAATAAATATATGCACATGAAATATTGGTTTGAGATTATTTTGTGAGAAAAATACTGTCTGCCAGGGTCAGTATTTAAATACATCTATGGTTAAGTGTTCATTCAAAAAATAATTTTACTATAGAATGCACATACAATAAATAAACGAACATTAAATAAATATATGCACATGAAATATTGGTTTGAGATTATTTTGTTATGTGAGAGAAAAAAAAAGATATAAAACTAGCAAAGTGTAAAAAATATTGTTTACCAGGGTCAGCGTTTGTGTACACGCATGGTTTAGTGTTCTTAAAAAAAAAGACCACAGAATGTACATTAAATGAACATTAAAGAAATACATGAACATGAAATATTGGTTTTAGTTTGTTTTATAATATGAGAAAAAAAAATTAAACTAGCAAAGTGTAAACAATATTGTTTGTCAGGGTCAAACTTTAAATATACATCTGTTCCTGATAGCCGCCTGAATTTTGTGTAATTTCTATTAGGTTTGACATCTATCACTGCACTGAACAATCCCAGATAATTAGTATAACAGGTACTCACATACAATTATAATTTTGTAAACCTTTTTGGAGTTCATTATCACCCTTGTAATGTGACAATGTGGAATCCCTCAAAAAAATGTGTCAATGCAGCACAATTGAGTAATAGAGGTGATGAGAGAACTGTCGTGTGATTACGTGTAATTACATCAAGATGGATAGATAGACTAACCTTAAAAGAGAGATTACATATTCAACACACACTCAGACCGAGCAGAAAGGGTGAAATTTTTCTCCATAATAAAACGGAAAGATACAAATCAGTTGTTTTAACTTATAGCATTAATGAAACAGAATCATGATATGGCCTTGTATTACTCTTCACAAGGTGCTGTTTTGATTTAAGTTGATAAAAAAAAAAATCTGACTTGAAAACATTTCACTTCAAACCCTTTAATGACAGGAGCAATTACAAGTATTTACCGCAGGTGTCTGAATAGGAAATTAGCAGTAAGATATTTGGTTTCAGATCAGAAGGTCTCATGAGGTAAGCCTGTAGTCCTGTCATCATTAATGCAACGCCGAGAGAAACTCAGTAAAGCCTGGATCATGCACATCTTACAGCTGAGACGGTGAACAACGGGACCACCCTTTGGACATTCACACCCGTGTTGTCAAACCGCAATGATCTTTTAAAGGGTTACTTCTGTCTACACATTTTTTCCCTTTTAACTCTGTTTATATTTCACTGAGGCCCAGAAAACCGCTTTTGCGTTTAATGTTAACTAGAGGAAAGGGAAGTGTATTCTGTCAGTGGCTGTATTGCACTTCACTTTCTAAACCCCCTGCCTGGCACTGAGGGTGTGAATGAGGCAATACTTAATTAGATGTAATTAGTCTCAATCTTCCCTTCCACCAACACCTGTGAATCTCACGTAAGGGGAATGTGCTAAACGCTTGCATTGTAAATGTATTTCACAATAGCTATTAATAATTTAGCCCTTTGTTATTTACAGCGCAATTATGCCCTTTGATCCTGTTACATTGTTCTCTGCAATTCATTAAAAGTAAATTAAACTTTCACAAACACCTATATTTCACCAATACCGAAAGTAGCTATGAACAGAATCCATCTTCTCTTGACCTGAACTTTTCATTCAGTCACATATGCATTACAAAAATTAGCTTTAAGAAACATGATGTCAGGGTTTTGTTGTGGTTCATAAGGCTGAACCCTCCACGTGTTAAATTATTTATGCTCTGACCTTTTGAAATTTGAACCCCTGTCCCTGCTTTTTCAATATAGTGCAGTATATTGCACCGATATAGACATCATCAGTTGTTCAATTCGCTAAACCAGGCAATTTACTACAACAGCATTGCAATGTAAATAAAACACCGAATGCTGTTTTCTTAAAACTCTGTATACAGGTCAATGGCATTCAGATCTATTACATTTATTAAAAATACATTAGAAATGCAAAGCAAAAATGACCTTTTATGATGAACTTTTTCAAAAGCTCAAGCTTTTGAATTACAACATAAACAAAACAACTTTTGTTTTGATCTAAAAATGAACTTAAATAATAATAATATTAATAATAAAATTAGATCATTTTGAAATTTTGTGGGGCTTAATGTAGACTGAAAAAAAGAAGAAGAAAAAAAAAGAAAGTAAAATGTTCTTAAAATGTTGGAAAAACCTGTCCACCAGATTAAGGTCCAGGGTAACCAACATGTAAATAGCCAATTTTGTTTTAATGTGACATGAAAACCATACAAAAATAAATTATATCACAGAGAAGATCCATCTAAACCATCAAGATTATTACGTTTTTAAAATATATTATTATTTTTGCTTATAAAAATAGATGTTTTGTTTAGGTAAAAATGAGAACCGTTGTTTTGCTGGGAAAAAAAACTACTAATCCAATAAACATTACAAGAACATGGCACGTTATTGACCTATACATAAAACTATTGTGTTTTGCAGATGCTGGTAGTTAAAAATGGACTTAAAGGATTTTGTTTTATTATCACTGTAACTAACTTCATTTACATTGTATTCGAGTTTTAACTTTCTATCTATTCTATTTACTAATATAAATTCAATAGCCTACCAAACGCTTCAAGTTCCGAAACAAACCCCATTCGGTGAAGAAGGTACGTAAGAACACATGTAACACACATACACACACAGAGAGAGAGAGAGGGTTATAAATGTACTCACGGGTGGAAGACGACAACACGCCGGCAGAACAGTGGAGCAAAAACAATAACCAGATCATCTTACGAAATAAGTTCGCTTTCTTTCTTTTAGTACAAGAGTGTATTTGTACTATTTGATCCACGCATGCCACACCGAGTCCAGCTCCAGTGCACCCGAAGAGTTGATCCCAGCGTCAGTTCCTGAGCTGCTGGCGTCTCGCCGATGTTCCAGAAGACTGAACTTTAAAGAATATCCGTCAAATGTTCTGTTAATGCCACGGTGCATTCGTCCTCTTCATTTACTTTTGGCATCGTTTACCGTGCTGAGGCTCTCCACTGCTAGGAAACATCCAAGTTTATACTTTGCAAGCTCCTCCCATGTCTTCCCACACAGTCCCAAGTCATTTTTGCCTCTTTCGTTTTATTCCTCCCTTCCTTCTGTCTGTGCCCTCCTCTTGTCTCGAGCAGGTCTTGTATCTAGAACAGTGTAATATCTGTTTCCTGGTGAATCCCGAAGTTTTAGCCTACCCGTGGGCCAGAAGAATCTCTTTAATGGGAAATCTTACCTTCAGCCTTATTATGGACATTTAAGGTTGAGCAGTTACATTCTTTGACAACTGACTGGAAGAAGTAACAATCGATCTCACCTTCTGTACCCCTTGTCTCTGACATGTCTGTTATACGTGTTATAATTATATTTGAACAGAATGGAATAAAGGGAGATAATGTGACACTAAATATTATTTTCTATATTCCAAATGTTCTATGGAATATAAAAAGAAAATGTTATTTTGATTATATTTTATAGCATTTTGCCAATTGTTTTGATATGAAAAAAGTGTAATAAACAATTATGTAAATATATCATATAAATATATATATATATATATATATATAGGTATGAATGTAATTAAACTATAATTATATACAATTATACAGAGAAAGAATTATAATGACAGTAAGTTAGAATAAAAAAACTATTCTGTTAACATCTGAGCAATCATACTGCTAAAATAAAATAAACTGCATTAAATATAATTATTAAAAAACGATTACATTTCCAAAAACATGAAAAGCTTAAAACTTTTTATTATTATTATTATTTTTTGCTGTAAAAAGTTTAAATCAATGGAAAATTATCAATTCAATACCAACGCCTCAAAGTTGTCATGACTAATGTTTGACTAATGGTGGTTATGAGCAGTTGGAGAAGTGGTCCTAGTCATTGAGTCACCCACTCGGTGAGAAAATATATTTTGAAACAATAACCATCACAGTCCGCTCGCCTGTGGGTCAGCAAGCCACAAAGCGGTGCTTTATCTGTTGTAGAAAAAATGCTTGTTAATGCCGGGTTTACCGTTAGTTCCTCGCTGGTTCTGTCTCGTAAATGAGTGAGTGGACTTCCTTTCCAGTTATCACCATACAATGCTATAACAAGAGGGATGTCATCCAAAGTCTGTGAATGGGGACAAAGACCATTCATCTCACAGAGCCCTCAAGGGGAGGGAGAGCTCCCACCACATTCATTAATTCTGCCTTTATTCTATAACTTCATGCATATGTCTTCTAAACAGTTAAGGTCTGCACTTCTAAACACCTTGTTCCTAAATATATTCTACACTTCTAAACAGTTTACTCATGCATATGTATCATATCTGAGTCAATGCGTTCTTAAGAACGTTATGTCATATTTACAAATCAAGATGTTGTAATCACAACAACCTCAGCAGGCTTGAGATAAATGAAAGCCGTACAAACGGATTAACAAGGTATAATTATTTGTGAATGAAGTAGCTGTTCCTGGGAAACACACGACTGGCGGAACTGACATGCGTGGTCACTTTACACAGAAATAAGCTCCAGATTTCAGAGGAAATGGTCTTACTATCATCTGCCTCAGATCTTTGAGTCTTTAGGAATATAATCCAGTCCATTAAATGACTTTGGATCAACTTGAAGGGCGAGAGTGATTATACTTTTCGCTAAATCCTAAAAGATGGGAAAATAATCCAAAACACTATGCAGATCAACTACAGGAGAGGAAGAAAAGGAGTTCCTCCATCATTACAGTATCTGAGTGATGTGTTGAAAGAGTTCTGCTTTGGAGACAGAACAACAAAGATAGTTAGAAACAGAAAAGCAAACAAGAACTTCCTCTCGGCAAACAAATTTCAACGTAAATCTCTCGGCCAATTCACTGACTGCATCTGATTGGACACATACCCAGCTAGGTGATGCCTATCCAGAACATGACTTAGACTTCAAGGAATTGTCTGTATCTAAGAGGACATTTATCCTCCAGAAGCCTGCTCTGAGACAGCACAACACACCATAATGAGACAGGGAAGCATTGATTACCGCGACCCAGTGATTTAGTGGGTGAGCTCTGGCATGTGGAACAAATTATCCCACCATAAAGATTTCAGAGGGAATTCTCTTCGGGACGGAGGCTTGGACTCACAGCATTCAAGCCGAGTGTGAAAGTATTGGCTGCTTTGTTTTGAAGCACTCTGAGGAACCCAAATTGGACATGCAGTAATATAGTGATGATTACCCAAGGGGGGTTAAACCTTAGTCCAACACACCTCAGCATTTTATGTCCAATCAACTTGGCCGACACAGAAACCCTCTCAAAAATGTCTGCAAAGCTGGGAGAGGCTCCAGCTCTGCGAAACATGTGCTGAAATCACTGTAAATCAAGCAATTTCCTCTTAATACACAGAGACAGTCACTGACCCCAGCAGTACAATCCTCACTGATTGGGAGAAAATGTTTGTTTGAAGTAGGGTCAAAGCCTTTCCAGATTCGGTTAAGCTTTGTTTATATTGTAATGTATGTTACAACACACCCCCCCCCAATAATGCATGACAAATGTATATCAACCATACACTCGGTGATGGCAAGATCTAGCAAATGTGAAGCCAAAAATTCCCAATAGTCTTAGAGTTGTTAACTTGCTCTTTCTACTCATTCCATCTGGAAATGCATCGACAATCAAACAAGAAATGGGTAGAGAATGTATATTGGTGTATATTTCACCATTCATTCTCTTCTTTTGCCAATTTTTTATTCATTCCCCAAATGCTGTACTTACTTCCTCTATCCTCTTTAGGTTAAGCAAATCTTGCAGTATTTCCTGCATCACTGGTATGTGTATAGCCATATCTGTGCTATATTGTACTCTTTGTGAAAATGAACATTTTTGGAAAATATACTGTTCAATTCAAATTCACGACTCAAAGTCCTAAATATCTCAACATGCCCCTGATATGCTTAAGAAAAAACTAAAGTAAAATGAGATTTAAAAGTTAATAATAATAATAATATGAACATATAAGCAAAATAATGCATAAATAAAAACAATTTTACATGATCTAATTGTTCTGATGCTGTTCAGATTTTTAATTATACACAATGATACTTTTATTCTGCAATCTCTTTAATATTACGATCAGCTATTTGAAAGTATAACAAGGGATACAAAGACCACTAGTCGCGCAGTACACAATTAAAGCAAATCTAGGCAACTGAGCTGCATGTCATTCAAAAACAACCATTAGAGGGAGCACAATCACAATGTATTTAACTCAATTTGAGAATTATTTTCAGGATTGAGAATTATAGAAATGAGAATTTTACAACAACTGGTAATACAATCTCTAAAGTTGTCAGGCTATGCAAATCATCTTAACTAGCATATAAAACTAACATGTTATTAAGCAAATTTTCAATTGCTAAAAATGTAAAAGTTTCATTTGGTTACTGTTTTTGTGCTGACTAATCAATATGCAAATTATTTTGATACACGTTACAAATAAATCTGTGAAGCAATCAAACACAATGGGTTTCAAAAAAATACAAATATTAAATAAGAAAGAAGTGGGGAGGGTTGCATAATGGGAGGTGTGGCTGTCTTTAAAAAAAGTGCTGTGCATGCAGGGTTATCGGTCAGTCTCATGTTCTGCTGTGTCACTGTGCGCTTCCTTTATTTTCTTGGCACTGAATGTGTACGTGAAAGAGCACACCTGATGTCCTGCACACATCGCAAAGAAGTGGTTTGTATATTATACAAGCATAGGACAAAGTCCATTATCTTCTTGTGCAATATGAAAGAACACCAAATAACAATTGCACCTGTCCTCAAAGGCAAATTATGATATTTGATTGTGATTCTAAACAGTTTTACTGTACCAAAGTGTGCATAGTAAGCATTAAAAGGTGTTATGTTAAAGATGAGTAGATTATTTATAATAATTATCATATCATAATTAGCATAATCAATAAATGCTAATTGATTCAATGTTTAAAATGCTTCTGCAGAACTAAGAATGACAAATTCAGTGCTAACACTGCCATAAGAAAATGCTTTGCATATGCACCTGATCTTTCTACCATTAAACTTTGCTGTCCTTTGTTGGAACATAGTTGCTCTTGCACCTCATGCTCTTGGTGGAATTTACATGGAAAACAATGTTTGTGCTTCAATAACTTCCTTAAGATCATGACATGGCAGGAATCAGTAAAACAAACCTCACAAATGCAACTAAGGTCAAAGGCCTGGGTGTAACCCACCAAGAAATATGATCTTCAGGAAGCCTTGGAGGAATACTTACTGTAAAATGATCTGCTATGTTCCAGAAATCCATAAAATCTGAAATGCTATATCTGTATATATAGCTTTGTGTCAACATGGTTAATGACTATGTTTGAAGGGGCAAATATGAGATTGAAGTTCCCTGTTTGAAATGCGGATTAGCTTGTTCATTATTGTGGAATGCCACTCACGGTATATTCTGACTCACTAAAGCCTCAGTAACAATTAAAATCCCAACAAGCCCAAACAAATACAAATTTCATCTAGGATCAGGAAGAGGGTTTCCCAGTGGGTGTCTGTTTGCCTCTTACATAACAACCTGAAGTATTTTTGGCAAAGAACATGTCAAATTTTCCAGACCATGAAGCATTCAGAGATGGATTATCTGAGAGGTATACTTAAATGACAAATGAGATCAACTGACAGTCCTCCATATCTTTGCTTTCGGTTTGTCAGTCAGCCTGTATTAGGTCCCACTGGCGTTCAGCTGAACAGAGGAGTTGCACAGTCATGCTGAAGTCAATGGCACTCAGTGTTTGGAACGCTGCCAGCGGGAACGCGCGCTAGTGAGCGTGTACGAGCCTCCTTCACACAGTCATACAGCCGACGGGCGCGCGAGCGTTAGTGAAAGAG